CAATTGGAACAGTTTTGTCTTGGAAGGTTGTAAGTAAGAAGATTACCAATCGCAAGAGTTCCACCAGTCGGAGTAGAAGTGGCGGTCGGCGAAACAGCTGATCTCGGCAAAGGCGCCGAGGAGATATTCGAAGATGACGAGGAAGACGAGCAGGAAGGTTACCATGAAGGGAAACAAAAGCATGCTGATACTCTCGGCGAGGATGAGGGCCTGCTCGGAGGTGCTCTCGACGAGCTGGAGGCGGAGGCTTGCGTCGCTCAGCACCGGAAGGATGAATTCCTCGCTGGTCAGAGTTAGCAGGAAGATGCAGCCGAAGACGGCGAGGGTCTTGGACGCCAGCTCCGTCCAGCGGCGGCCGTCGGTGCGCGGGTACTCGAGCTCATAGCACAGGGTCGGGCAGAAGACAAAGTCCACGTAGTTGGTCCACGTCAGGTTCTGCGGGTACGTGATATGGCCCAGGGGCGAGGTCAGCTCCTTGGCGAGATCCTCCCGCAGCTTGGTGATGGGATCCTCCTCGTCCTCATCGCTCTTATCGGCATCCAGGCGCTGTTGCAGCGGGTGGTGGTGTGGCTGGGTGGTTCGGTTTGGGTATCGCACCGCAGCATCTAGCGAAACAGCCCCGGGGTTGTCTAGTGAGGACAGCCGGCGCTCCGTCTCGCTCAGGTGGCCATTGTAGAAGGCGTACGAGTGCATTTTCATAAGGAAGGTCAGCGTGTGCAGCGTAAAGAATACCTGGGCTGTCCAGGTCCAGTGCAGCATAAAGGGCCAATTGATCCAGAGAACCAGCCAGCACGCCTCAAACACGCTCTGCGCCACCATGCCGCCGCGCGACCACGCAAGCCATCCGGAGCTCCCACGCACCAGAAGGTGGATCGGCAGGGCCAGGCCTGTACTGACCACCATGGCCAGATCGCTCAAGGCCAGCTCCCACACGTTCGCCGATAACATCGCCCACACCTGCACGCGGAGTGGGTACCCTGTATCCTTAATGTTGCGCAGCACGGTGGTCACGACCATGATAAACAGCCCAATCCAGAACAGCGTGAAGAAGCCCCGAAAGTCGTGGTAGTCGCTCTTCGGGTCAAAGTGCGACACTCGGGGCACGTAATCGATCGTGTAGAACAGGCGGTTGCGTGCGCGCGCCTGTTTGCGGGCGGAGGAGATGGAAAAGGCTGACGGCGGCGCATCCTCAGGCACTGGCGTAGAGTAACCACTGCTGCAAGCTGTCAGGACCAGCCCTCTACCCATACCAACGGTTTCCCAGTGACATACCTAGACTCCAACGACCTCTCTAGCGGAGGCGCAAGGGATGCCTCTTCGAGCTTCGCCTTGACGACCCGCGGCCGCAGCAGAGTCTCTGACAGCCCGTTGCTGAGAGCAGAAGACATGGCGATGGGCGTTCAACCACTTGGACAGATCATCAAACACGCACACGCGGTTGTGTGGTTGTTGAGTAGAAGGAGGGGAGGGGGAGGCGATCTGCACTCCGTATTAGTAGGCAGTCAGCTTTTCTTTGGCGGAACACTCGGAGAGCACTGCGGACACCTACGTCAATAGGGGTGGTCCAGGCAATGCTGACTGCTTATCCATCCCCTATACAGGACACAAAACCACCTGCGGCTACCGGTCTGCCGATCGCTGGGGCGTTTCCCCGGCGCTTCCAACGCCCTCACGGATGCTTTCTCCTCACGACGATTTCCTGTCGCCTGTTCCTGGGCAATCCTGGTGCAGCAGCGACGTCATGGGACTTATCTAATCATTCTTGGTGCCTGAGGCATATATAACCATGCTTATCTAATCATATATTCGTGCCTGAGGCATAAATCACCTTCGTCAGATGACTTCTGCCTCAGGCACAGAAACAGTCCGTACGCTAGCCTGGAATGGTCTAGTGTCCCCGTGGCTGCGGGCAGCGCAGGCGGACAACGGCCAGGTCAACTCGTATGTGGACGTGGACAGGTTGCCAGACAGGCTGCTGCGCATCCCTATCGTTTGGTATCGCTTTTTATCTCGTTGTTTTCGGTTCCTTTGACTGCCGCCCGTCAGACCGTCGGGCGTCCCTTGCGACAGCCATGACCTCCCGTGCGTAATGTTGCTGGCGTGGAACCGAATCCCCCCCCCCTACTCCGGCCTCTTGCTAACCAGATCCCGCCCGCACAGTCAAACAATTTATCCGCAACGTCCGCTCAGCCAAGACGATTGCGGACGAGCGAGCCGTGATTCAGAAGGAGAGTGCTGCTATTCGGGCGTCGTTCCGCGAGGAGAGTCATGATTCCGGTGTGCGGTCAGTCTTGCCCGCCCGCGGCGTGTTTGGGGTCTGTCTCGCTGACTTGGTCACAGGCGAAACAATGTAGCCAAGCTGCTCTATCTATTTACCCTTGGCGAGCGGACGCATTTCGGCCAGATCGAATGCTTGAAGCTACTGGCGTCCCACCGGTTCGCAGACAAACGGCTGGGGTATTTGGGAACCATGCTGTTACTGGATGAAAACCAGGAGGTGCTGACGTTGGTGACAAACTCATTAAAAAAGTCGGTTCATGTCCCCCTCTTTAGGAGACAAGAGATTCTGGCTAATACGTTGGGATGAATCGGTACAGTGATCTCAACCACTCAAACCAATATATTGTCGGTCTGGCGTTGTGCGCGTTGGGCAATATAGCATCGGTCGAGATGTCTCGAGATCTGTTCCCGGAGGTCGAGTCCCTTCTTTCCACAGCCAATCCGTACATTCGCAGGAAAGCCGCACTGTGTGCCATGCGTGTGTGTCGAAAGGTCCCCGATCTGCAGGAACATTTTCTGGAGAAGGCCAAGATGCTGCTGTCGGACCGTAACCATGGCGTCCTGTTGTGCGGACTGACCCTGGCAGTTGACCTTTGCGAGGCAGAAGAAGCGGAGGAGGGGCAAGAAGGGGTGATTGAGATGTATCGCACTCTGGTTCCCGGCCTACTCCGCTCTTTGAAAGGGCTCACCGCGTCCGGATATGCCCCGGAGCACGACGTGTCTGGAATCACCGATCCCTTCTTGCAGGTGAAGATCCTGCGTTTCTTGAGGGTGTTGGCTCGTGGAGATGCGGCGACGAGCGAGCTCATCAACGACATCTTGGCCCAGGTGGCTACTAATACCGACTCCACCAAGAACGTTGGCAACGCGATCCTGTACGAGGCTGTGCTCACCATTCTGGACATCGAAGCAGACTCGGGCCTCCGGGTTCTGGGTGTCAACATCCTGGGGAAATTCCTTTCCAACAAGGACAACAATATCCGCTACGTCGCGCTCAACACCCTGAACAAGGTCGTGGCTATCGAGCCGAACGCCGTTCAGAGGCACCGCAACACCATCCTTGAATGTCTACGCGACCCGGATATTAGTATCCGTCGGCGAGCCCTTGACCTTAGCTTCATGCTTATCAATGAAAGCAACGTGCGCGTGCTGATCCGCGAATTGCTCGCTTTCCTCGAGGTGGCGGACAACGAGTTCAAGCCGGTCATGACGACCCAGATCGGCATCGCAGCCGACCGATTTGCACCCAACAAACGCTGGCACGTGGACACTATCCTTCGAGTTCTCAAACTGGCGGGCAACTACGTCAAGGAGCAGATCCTGTCGTCGTTTGTTCGTCTCATCGCTACCTCCCCCGAGCTGCAGACGTATTCTGTGCAGAAGCTCTACTCATCACTCAAGGAAGATATCTCTCAGGAAGGTCTCACGCTGGCTGCATCCTGGGTCATTGGTGAGTACGGCGACAGCTTGCTCCGCGGTGGCCAGTACGAAGAAGAAGAGCTGGTTACGGAGGTCAAGGAAAGTGACATCGTCGACCTCTTCAACAACATTCTCAACAGCACATACTGTTCGCAGATCGTGACCGAATACATCGTCACGGCGTCGATGAAGCTGACAGTGCGCATGACCGAGCCGGCGCAGATCGAGCGGCTGCGCCGTCTGTTCGGCTCACGGACCACGGACCTGAGCGTGGAAATCCAACAGCGCGCGGTAGAGTACACCAACCTGTTCGGGTACGACCAGATCCGGCGTGGCGTCCTGGAACGGATGCCTCCGCCAGAAATCCGCGAGGAGCAACGGGTTCTCGGCGCACCGACGAAGAAGCGGCAAAGCAAGCTCCTAAAGGACAAGTCGAAGAAGCCCGTCAAACCCGCCGAGCAGGACATGCTTCTAGACCTGATGGGCGGGGATGCCCCTATCGAAACGACACCCCCCAACGGTTCGCAGAACACCGCCGACCTGCTCGCAGACATCCTCGGCGGCGGCGGCGGCGACTCCGGCATGTCATCATCTCCTGCGCCCCGGCCCGCACCCGCGGCGAGCAGCACCAGTGCGATCATGGATCTGTTTGGCTCGAACGGACACACGCCCTCTCCGCAGGCCGCTACTCCTTCACCGCAGCCGGCATCCGCCTCGTTGGATCTACTAGGCGGCGGCGGCGGTGGTGCAGCGTCTACGGCGTCCGCGACAGCTCCTAGCGCCCACACCGCCTTCAACAAGGACGGCCTCGTGCTCACGCTCGCCGTGCAGCGCAGCGCAACCGCCGCGCAGATCCAGGGCCGGTTCATGAACTCGTCTGGCTTTGACCGGTTTGCCGGCGTCGGGCTGCAGGCCGCCGTGCCCAAGAGCCAGCGTCTCCAGCTGAGTGCTATCAACAAGCCTGATCTCGAGCCAGGCGATGACGGTGTCCAAATCCTCAAGGTGGCCGCATTGAACGGAGTGAGTTTTCTTCATACAACCTTATATATAAATCATCTATTCTTCGTACTATGCTCTACTGTATGCTAACTATTTTAGAATCTCCCGCCTAAGCTTCGTCTTCGTCTGCGCATCACCTACTCGAAGAACGCAACGGGCCCGGTCACAGAGCAGGTGGACTGGAGCGAGCCTTGATCGATATCAGTCGCACCCTAGACCTTGCGCGCTTCTTGTTTTCCTTTCCATTGATACATAGTATGCATACCCTGGTTCAATGTAAATGCTTAGCCAAATAGCAACTGGGTTACCTCTTTAGATATGTACGTACCTAGCTAATAACCAAGGTAGCTATGTACAGGTACGTACTAGGGAGGTAGCTGTTACAATCTCAATTACAATAGATTTGAATATTCAATGAGTAGCCCCAATTTCTAAATCTGCGTTGATCTCATCAAGTAAAACTGTTAATGCCGAATCACATACCATACCATTGTATCATCATAAGTTGGAATAAATCACCCTACCATAGCTTACCCCACGATCCAGAATCCAAAATCCAATCCAAAAATCCAAACAGCTAGATAATCAAAAGCCAACGCCAGCAAATGTATGTTGGAAATAATAAAAAATAAAAAAGGAGGATCGTAAAAATCGTTACATCGCGCAGTCATCACAGTTAGCTTTATATGGCTGCATGTAAGTATCAACATGAAATAAAAAAAGAAGAGGAAGCAATAGTTAAAAAAAAAATCAAGGATGTATCATAAATAAAGGGTTGGGGGGAGGGGGGGAGGGGAATTGTATCACGAGCTAAATATTCTGTATCATAGTTTGTCAACGTTTCTGTCGTTTCACGCAAAGGTCATCTGTCGTCGGTGCGTAGGCGGGTGGTGAGGATCATCGTACTGGCGCGGATAATGGGGGTCGCGCGAGTAGACGACGCCGTTCGGGCCGACCTCGCGCGCGATGTACCCAGTGCCCTTGTCCTTCAGACGGGAGAGATACTCGCGTTCCGTCTCTGGTTTGCTGGAGTAGGCCGCTGTCTTGGACGAGGAACTATTGCTGCTCGGCCGGTACGAGTCGTGTGGGTAGATGGGGGCGGTGCTGCTGCGGACGGGCTTGGGCATGGGCCGTGATGAGGCCGAGGACCGCTCGTGCCGGGTGGGCGAGTAGCCACGGGAATGGCGCGCCGCCGACGACGATGACGAGGAGGAGGTCGGTTTCGGGAGGTCGGATTCGACCAGGACGTCCCGCTCGGCACCGCTCACGACCTTGTACCGCGTCGAGACTTTCGGGGGGCTGCCACCACTAGGGTGCAGGTCTGGGGTAGGAGAACTGGAGTACTCCGAGTCGTAGCGATCAGGACCCCGGCTCTTGGTCGATCGCGGCGCGGCCGCGTCGGTGTAGACCATTTTATAGAGCGGATCGTCGCTTCGGCTTGAGCCTTCACGCTTGGGTCGCGAGGGGTAGGTGGTGGTTGCCGACCGAGAAGGCGGCATCGGGGGCCGGGTGGAGGAGGAGGAGGAAGGTACCTTGAGCCCCGGGGAGGTGGCCGCAGTGGGCATGCTGGGCATCTTGGGCTCATACACACGCGGGATCTCCAGGTGCTCGCGGGAACCTTGACGCGAGGACGATGGACGCACGTTGTCCCTGCTAGAGCGAGGGGTCCGGACCGAGCGGCGGGAAGTGGACTCTGGTTCCGTGGAATCGTAACTATGGTACCGCGGCGGCGGCGGCGGGGAGTGGGACGACCGGGGCCGGCGGTTGTTGATCTCAATCGGCGGGTTGCCCTTGGAACGCATGATATAGTCCCGCGCGGAGGTGTGCAGGTGCTCATGCTTATTCGACTCGTAGTCGGAGTATTCCTCCGGTTCATCGAATCTCGGGGGCGGCGAGCGGTGGCCGGACGATCGGGACTTTGGCTTGCGAGACGAGGTCTCGCGAGGCGGCTTCTTGACCCGCACGTAGTACGAGCGGTCCGAGCCCGAGTCCGAGTCTGAATCGTCGAGCTTGCTGCTGCTGCTGCGGTGGTGGTGGTGGTGATGGTGGCGACGGCCGTCGTCATCGTCTTCGACCACGATCTCCTCGGGGGCGTACCGTTCGTACTTCTCCGTGACATCCCGACGCCGTTCTTTCGTGCGAGTTTTGGCCCGGTCGGAATGGCCGGCCTTGGAGCTTTCGCGTGCCACCTTCTCCCTGGCGGCCTGGGCGGCACTCAGCGGGGTTGTCTTGGTCCTCCCCTTCTCATCGACGCCGAGTTTGGTGCGGGAGCGCCGGCCGTTGTCGTCGTACTTGCGACTCGAGGCCCGCTGCTCGTCGGCGTAGAACAGATCGTCGTCATGGGAATCCGGATCGGCCGCGGGCGCCCGCTCCTCGTACAGCTGGTCGCCGCGGTATTCACGCGGATAGCTGGGGCGGGGCGGGGTGGCCGAGACCTTGCTGCGCAGCTCGGCAAGATAGACCTTCATGTCATACTTCTGGCGGCTGGTGGCATCGGACAGGATCTCATACGACTGCTGGACCTTCTGGAATTCATCTCGCGCCTGGTTCTGCAGGGCCTCGTCCTGAATCTTATCCGGGTGGCACTTGAGCACCAATTTGCGGTGGGCGGCCTTGATATCGGCCACGGTCGCATCCTTGGAGACACCCAACACAGCATAGGGATCGAGCTCGAGCGAAGGCATGCTGGATCGATGTCCTAGAAGGACAGGCTGTCGCACATAAGACGATCGACCGAGGGGGACTTTTTCAACAAGTTCTCTGTGGGTCAGGGGAGATGATTATCTGCGAGTGTGGCTCACGGTGGCAAGAGGCAAAAGAATTGGAACAGGTACCCGCGGCAAAACCAAAGGGTGTGTAAATTAAAACAACAACAATAACAATAATAATAATAATAACAGCAGCAGGCTGCACGATTGATCTGCTGGTCTAGTTTGACCAGCAGGACGAGGCTGGGCAGGGCGAGGAATAAGAAGACTAGCAAGGCGTGCGGTGACGTGCCAGCGGTCGGTCTAGTGCATCGTCTCTCAGCACTGCAGTAGGGTGGGCACTGGGCAACGGCAGAGAACGGCCAAGGGAAAGAAAACGAAACGGAGGAAGACTGGAGAAAGAAGGATTAGTTAGATCAGAGGGTTTTTTCGGTCCTCCTCATGCTGTGCTGGCAGCAGACGGATGAGTGGCCAGTGTCAACCAACGTACCTCCCGGCAGTCTCAGGGACAATACCGTACGAAACGAGACCGAGGCGGGGTTGTATTGTTTGGATTATGTGTATTGGAGTCGTCTTGGGGATTAATTAACTTAGTAACTTCAATCGGTACCTTGTACAGAGGTACTCCGTACTGTAGGCTGTACAGTTCTCTGGTGTTGCTGCGCCACGCTGCTGAGGTGGCATAGGATTAGTCAGTTGAGAATAATAATAGACAGAGCAATCCTTTGTCATACAAGAAAGAGAATCAACGAGAACATACCGGTGTCTTGGTGGTGGTGGTGGTAGTCTTTGTACCTGCCAGCCTGCCAGAGTTCCAGTTACCAGGTATCTTACGTCGTACCAAAAGATATGAAGTCTCCAGACAAAATCGAGAGATCACGACACTGTCCCAGACTGGTCTAGCGTGCGTGGGCTGCTCACGGCGGTGAGGGCGTCGCTTTGGTGGACGCTTTGGAGCTGGGACCTTGCACTGGACGCTGCACGGTGGACACGACCAGCTGGCTGGCGGCAGGCTATCCAATTCCCGTTTCGGATTCACTGGGTCTGCAAGCAGCCCCCGTCGATTGCTGGATCGTTTGAAAGGGAGTGGAGGGGAGGGGGGGGGGGGGGGGAGAGTCAGGTCAGACCATGGAGCCAGAAAAACCCAAGCATCCACCGGCGCCCTTGCGAACAACACAACGAGAGGGAGAGATGAGGGCCCGGTGCTGCTAAGTACTATGCCCAACAGTGGGCCGTGGCCTCGGGCAGAGGAGAGGTGATACAAATGGAGGCAGAATGAAGCGGAAGAACACCGTCTGCTGGTGCTGGAGAAGGTTTCAGGCGCTTCACCTGCGCCCTTACTTGCTGGCTCACGGTCATCGCAGGCGGAAAAAAAATAATAAAAAAACCCCCCCAGTACCTGCTACTCCGTACTTCGTCCCTGCTAGTGACCTACTGACTTAGGTAGTTTACCTGCTCACTAGTGGAATACCTCGTGCTCGGCTACGGCGGACGGGCCACTCCTACTATTCAGGGTCTGTTGCTCCGGACTGGTTGCCTGTCTCTGACGTCTCTACAAAAGCAAGGCTGGACGATGCCATGTTGTGGTGGGGCGATCAATCAGCAGCAGCAAACCCCGCACCGATGGTCGTAGCAGAAGTTTGATCTGCTCTTTCCACCTTCCATCACTCCGGCGAGAGACGAGTCCTTGACGCCAATCAGGAGGAGACGAGGAGGGGCAATGGATTTGCCTCGTCTCATGCTCGGTGAGAGGGTGAATGCACGGTCTACGGGGTACGGGCTCCGGGAGGAGCTTGCCCTCAGGGGCCCCTGAAATCTTCCGTTCACGTCGATCCTTTTGGTTCCTGGGAGTTACTGGGGCAATCCCGGGTTACGGTGAACGGACTATGGATCTTGCTTCGAAGCTTGCTGTATTCTCGAACTGAGTTTGTCTTCAAGGCTGTACGGAGTACATGGAGAACGACACAGTACTCCGTACATGGAGTAGCGCACTGCAACTACTACTACTACAAAAAAGTGGACAATATTTGCATGTTGATTCGTTGCTTGATCGGGTCGGTCTTGGCCAATGCGATCCACCGATCGAGCGACCGACATGCTTCACCCCGCCACAAGACTGGTACAATCGCCTATCATCTCATGTTGGCACACACATACAGAGGACTTTCAGAACGGTCAGATGAAGGATCAAGATGACCTTTGCGGCTGACAGAAGACTGATAATAGGGGACGGTAGTCTTACACACCTCTACGGAGGGTACTTCAGTCTCAATCAAAATCCGTCTTACTACGAAGTACCTTTATCCAGGTGTTTCCCTCCCATCTATCATGCCTATCGAATGCTTGCTGGCTAGTGGCTACTTTCCTAACTTCTGGCCGGCATGTCAATGAAATAGCCTTATTGACCAGGACCTTGATTGCTGCAATCTTGATCCATATCTTGGCTACTGGCCCAATTCTGCCATGGAACTGCTATTATCTATATAGATGCCGACGGCTATCACAACACCCATAGTGGACTCCCTAGGTTGTTCTGTCGCGGCAAGCAATAAATCTGATGCTGGAACCTTAGGGCAACGATGAAATACTGCGCGACATATGGAGTCGGGAACTGTTGGGTATGCTCGCGATAATGCTCTCCTATAAGCTGGCTGTCCTTTGGTCTGGGTTTTCGATCCCAAGCAACCAAGTCAGGTCTCGATGCATTCAATCCGACACAGATATGACATAAGTCTATGCCAAACGCATAAAGACGGAGATTTACAGGCTCCCACTGGCATCTTAATCCAGGGCGTAGCATAGCTCTGTGGTGATATTATTTCTCCCTTGTCAAGCCTCCTCACCAGTCATATACGGATTTTTCAGGCGCACGAGGCCTGAGCCAGTCTCCAGATGATCAATATGATCAATGGTTCATCCACTCAAGTCATCCAGTGGCATCTGACCTGCAGCCTTATAGAGGTACATCATCAGCATTATGGAAGGGTATCGAATACTCTACGCAATACCTAATTAACATCGATACCTAACCCCCATACCTAATCTACTACCTAATCCAACACCTAATACCTACTACCAGGTACAAATCTGGTAGTTAAGGTGATACTTTGGTGTGACGACATCCTCATCCATTCAGACAGCGTATTCAAGCGCTCATGCCGCAGATGACTCTTCTGATCATCCTCATCCGACCGGTCTAGATTAGAAGAGTATGCTAATTGTATTGCTAATAAATGAGGTATTGTCTTGTATTGTATTAAGTCTTGTAACCAGATGATCAGTCATACTACGTCAGAGATGAACTGTAAAGAACAGTTCTTATTATTATGAGAAAATTATTGAAAGATTCCTACCTAACCCGCCACTCATCTCTAATACCAACCAACCGCTCAACGATCGCCTCTTCGTCCATCTCTACATCCAGGATATCCTCTCCTCGATACCCGACCATAACCTTCTGCCGCGTACACAAGACATAAAACCTGGTAGCCGTCCTGATCACCACGATCCCAAAAGACGGCCAAGAAGAAACAGGAGAACCCTCGCCGTCGTCATCGCCATCGTCATCGTCATCTCTCTGGCCGTGTTTCTCTCTCCGGCGCCTCGTAAGTTCGTGGAGTTCATTCTCTGCCTGGTTCCACGCAGAGACAGACGTATCTGCCGTCTGTCGCACACAGAGCGTCGTGAGGGGACAGTACGTTGCCAGATCGGCCGTTCGCGGCGAATAGACATGTCCGGTTGTATAGGATACATTGCCGCTCTCCGTTCGCGAAACATAGTGTACGTAGCCTTCGTGGTGGGAGAAATAGGTGTGTAGGATTGCGTCCCATGCGCCGGTGACGGGGCCGACGCCGCCTTCGTTGTGTATCTCGTGGATTTCTGCCTCGATGGCGAAGATCCGGAGGTACTGTGTCAAATTCTTATTAGTGTTGGTTTCTTTCAGTCATATTCAAAGCAGATGGGCATACTCCGGGATCAGGCATGGTGGTGGTGGTTGAGGTAGGTGAGGTGTGGGTAGAGGGCGAGGAGAGTTTCTTAAGGAGAGAGGTAGTCACTATAGTGAAGAGGTTTACTTGGATGAACTATGTCGAAGAGTGAGCATAATCATGATTCACTGTCTAGATGATTCTGTCAAGCTGTCTACTGGAAGATCTATATCAACCACTATTGGGGGATTGAATTTGATCCTTTTCTGATGGTTTGTGGCCTTGATTGACGCATTCACGATGCACGTCTCTCGTCGGACAGTATCCAGACGATGAGTTTCACTCTGTGTCTCGAAATCCAACATATCAATCCTCCCTGCACAGCCCTCGTTCTCAATCCGCGGTGCCCTTTTGCCCGTCAGGTCAACTAGATTCTGTTTCTTGCTGCCCACAGGAGGCAGTTGGCCCCTGGTGACTTGAATGTCAGAATTCCTTCCCGGTATTTCCGACCAGACAACCCTCTCGTACCCCCTTCCGCCATGCACATGTCCACAGACAGCCAAGACTGGCCGCACCGTCTCCAGTGCGTCTCTGAGTGCTGCACACCCCAGCGGTTGTCCCGCGGCGACGCTGTCACAGTGCGAGTGTGGCGGGGTATGCGTCACAAGCACGTCCGTGTCGTGAGGGATCTGACGCCAGAGCTCCCGGGCCTGGGAATCCTGATACCCGAACGCCCATGTTCCGCTGGATGGAGAGAAGGGCGATCCAAACACTTTGAATATGGTTCTGGGACCGCTCTCGCGCGTCAACCGCACCACCACCGCCTGGTGGTTCAAATAGACCACGCTCGGGTTTGTCTTGGTGACAATTTGGAGACATTCCCGCGGGTCCTGGGGGCGTTGGTACTGGAATCCAGACCCGTGAGCAGCATAGAACGGCGGGTCGAGCGTCACGTCGTGGTTCCCTATCCGTCTCAGCTGTCATGAATGTTTGATTTCAAATTGAAGTAGACAGTTTTATCCACTTTTCAATTACCTGCCACCACGATTTTGGCTTCGAAATCGGCTTGTGCAATCCAGTTGATCGTCTTGCGGAGCTCAGACTCGCTGCCCTGGTTCGTGAGATCGCCAGCGTGGATGAGCACGTCGCCGGCCGGGAGTCGGAATCCTGCCTCAGACGGAGTATAGCCGTGCGTGTCGGAGACGCAGACAAACCGGGTTTTGCGCTTCATCGGTCGAGTACTAGGTCTGGTGTTAGATCTGTAGATGTATATCTAGAGCCAAGTAGAGTTAGATTTTTGATGGCGAGGGTGAGACTGTATGTCGAGAGCAGCAAATGTGTAGATAAACCTGCTCAATCTCACTCATGAATTGTATTCTTGAATCCATCATGTACAGGAAGAAGGCAAGAAAAGCAAACGCATAGAGAAGGTCGAATGCGTTGCCAGTTGCCAATTGTGTCAAACCACGTGACAGGCCATTCATCATGTATCACGTGATCTGTTGCAGACAGTGTCAGTGACAGTCCGAGACCAAAGTCTAGAGCCTTGAGTCAATGTGTTGATCTGTTGAAGCACTGCCAACTCTTTCGCCGAGAAATACAATATCTTCTTGCTATAATGAGAGAGCTATAAGTAAGAAGGGGATATGGAAGACATGGTATTATAGGCAGCTGTCTAGTTTACCGACAAAGATCTTGAGGATATCAAGGATCAACATCTGGCTTTCCAATTCTATACTATTGTGCCATATCAGTTTGAATTTCACAGGGCTATATAGACCGAAAAAAAGGAAATCCATGAACTGCAATACTCCACAAACGAGTATTTGGAGAATTGCCAGTTTTAGATCATCAATCTTTGTACCGTCAGACTGTGTGGTGGCCTGGTATGGGATTGAATTACTCCTTGAAGATCATTGTCAGCCTTACGCCATTTATAAAGACAGGCCTCGATGCATAAGAACACCAATGGAGTACATTCGATTCATCTGCCGGCAAACAAGCGCCTTCTCTGGTTCAGGGGTAGTCTTCGAAGGGCATATCAGCAGGTCTCACTCTGCTTGAGGTTGCATTGCCGACTAGAAGATGGACCACCTTGAAATCTTTATCTCCTCTCTGTCGAAAACTCCTTTGGCAAACATTGGGGGATACCTATACTTTAGTACTAGTCTCTTAGAGAGCATCCATCGTATGAGCTGTATTCAGGTGTCAGTATGGCAGGCCGTCATGGCTTGGGAGAATTCAAATGATGAGTTTTCTCCACGAAGTAATCACTCATATGATGAAATCAACGACCTAATACACCTTGAAATAGTTGAACAAAGGCATCATCGCGACTGCTGTTATTGGAAGGACGTTGAGACGGGTCCGACGGGATATCTACAATCACGTGACTCGGTGCTTCGGATTGGCCCGGCTTAGGGCTGCGGCCCTCACCCGACCGCCCGCACAAATTAGTTAGCCTCGACCTCGCTTAGCGATCATCCTGTGAAGCCAGAATCCGACTTCGTTGTGTGCGTTGACCCAACCACCACGACAACAACCGCCGACAACATACATCCTAAGGGAGTATCCTAGAGCAGCGCTCTTCCTTTCGCCGGATATTTTCCTTAAAACACGGTGAAAGAGCAGGATGTCCTCCATCGAGCCAGTCGTGCGTTATCTCCCTACCCCGGTCCTTCCCCTGCTTGCTCGCTGTTCGACAGTTCGGTCCACTGACATGCGGTTTAACAGGTCGTCATTGACGGCAAGGGACACCTTCTTGGTCGCCTGGCCAGCACTGTCGCCAAGCAGCTGCTGAACGGTCAGAAGATCGTCGTCGTCAGATGCGAGGCCCTTAACATCTCCGGCGAGTTCTTCCGCGCGAAGTGTACGTTTTGAAATCCGATCCAATCTTGTTTTTGCTTTTATACGGAATGTGTGGCGGACATGGGGAGGAAAATTAGAGGCAGAAGGGATAATTCTCTAGAGGAATTGGTGGACCGACCATGGACAATTTTGCAGATGACTGACTCGATTTGTGTGTTATAGTGAAGTACCATGCCTACCTTCGCAAGATGACTCGCTTCAACCCCACTCGCGGAGGTGAGACCGACCGACTCTTCTTTTTTACATCCTTTTGATCTACAACATTTCGGAAATCGGGTTGCTGAGAATGATTTTGATATACAGGTCCCTTCCACTTCCGTGCTCCTTCCCGCATCTTCTACAAGGCCGTCCGTGGTATGATGCCCCACAAGACCGCCCGTGGTGCCGCCGCCATGGAGAGACTCAAGGTCTTCGAGGGTGTTCCTCCCCCGTATGACAAGAAGAAGCGTGTGGTTGTTCCCCAGGCCCTCCGTGTGCTCAGACTCCGACCCGGCCGCAAGTACTGCACCGTCGGCAGACTCAGCCACGAGGTTGGCTGGAAGTACCAGGATGTTGTTGCCAGGTGGGTTACAAGCGGTTATTCTCTACATATTTCATTCTCGGTCACTAATTTTGCCCTTTTTTTTATTACAGACTCGAGGAGCGGAGAAAGGTTAAGAGTGCTGCATACTACGAGCGCAAGAAGGCCGCTCGCCGCCAGCTCGCCCAGGCCCAGAAGACGGCCAGCGTTGACGCCAAGACCAAGACCCAGCTCGCCGAGTACGGATACTAGATACCAAAAAAAAAAGATTTGTCCGGCTGGTTGCTTCTTGTCTCTGATGGTTTGGGTTTGGGAATCGCGAACGGTTTTTATCCTTTGTCCAACAGCGAACTACGACGGCAAGCCGATTGATCGCCTTGTTTCTTACTTCTCGCTGTGCCCAGTCCCTGTCCTAAATACTCGCGCAGACCCGTTGGTGACGGACTGGGGACGGGCCCGGCGGGAGACCTGATGATTTCTGATCCGCACACACATTAAAAATAGGGGAAGACGGAGTCGCATGGGATGGAAAAAAGGTTGTTCAAAATAGCTACCGTTATCTTTCGCGCCGTGGCGGTTTTTTTTAATCCAAAGAATTTTCTCAAGAGTTCATGACGGTCCACGATGCTCCTTTGCATGTTTCAATTATCCAAGCCTAGACTGTTCAACTTTATCGTTTCAGATGTCTGACTGTAGATTAACCTTAAGACTATAAATCGATGAATCTCCCCGGATTCTATTTCCGACCAAGCCAATCCATCCTCTATCAAAGAGTGCCTGGATGCCTGAACAAATGTCTTGAAAATGACAATCCCGAGGATTTCTTGGTACCCGCAATCCGCTCCGCTAGCAATAGCCGGTGGATTTCCCCGCATTTTCTCCAATTCCTCTCCAGCAGGCAATCGACTTTCACGTCTTTTCTGATTTAATTTGACACTGCTAGTAGGTATGTCGAGTGCTATCAGCAGGCTGTCAGGCCTGATCGGCCACCTGCGCGGGTCCCCATCGACAGACAAGGAGAACACGGCAACCGGCCAGTCCCAGTTCGAGCACAAGTATAACCACCACAGTCTGTCGCCCACTTTCTTTCTACCGCGAGCAGCTGCTATCGAACCAAATGTAAGGGCATTCTATAAAAATCCAGAACTATGCAAAAAAGGCTCAAAGCTCTGCAAAAAACATATAAACGTGGGTGTGTTGACAATGATTTGGTTAGGCCGAGGCAATCGTCCACATCACTGCGAACAATATCGTGCTACGACGGACGTACCTGGAGACCGCGGACCGGGCGAGAGGATTGGCTTATTATCTCCGTAAACGTGGGTATGGACGCGTAGGAATTCTGTGTCCGAATACACCGGCGTTTCTGGAGTCGATCTTTGGTATTGCAGCAGCGGGGGCAGTGAATGTTGGTAAGATACTGCGACTATAGGAAAGAAAAAAGAGCAGGGCGTGAAGCAAGCTGACAGATTTAGCTGTGAATTATCGTCTCAAAGAGGATGATATTGCGTACATCTTTGCGCATGCGGACGTCGATGCGATCATCGTGGACCAGGAATTTCTAACCTTGCTCGAGACGTATCGGAAAACGAAACCGGGGGTCCCCCTCATTGTCGACACAGACACGGACGCCACGGAGGGCGAACTAACGGGTCCGTTCGATGATGCGGTTTTGGAAGGATTGAGGTATGATCGTGAGATGGGAGGCCAGGGCTGGACCGGGCTCCAGATACACCCGGAGGATGAGAACGCGGTCATCGCACTGGCGTATACGAGTGGGACAACGGCAAAGCCCAAGGGCGTTGAGTTTGCGCATCGGGGGTGTTACCTTGCAGCAATGGCGAACTTGGTCGAGTCAGGTCTCCATCGTGACAAGGGGCGGTGTCGCTATTTATGGACTTTGCCCATGTTCCATGCAATGGGTGAGTTTTCACTCGCCGCCAGTAGCATCGCTGCTGCTATTGAAAAAAAAAGACCCTGACAGTTGCATTTAGGATGGACATTCCCCTGGGCTGTCACGGCTGTGCGAGGAACACATTACTGTATTCGCAAGATCGACTATCCACAGATCTGGCAACTGCTGAAAGAGGAGAGGATCACGCATTTCAACGCTGCGCCGACGGTCAACACCTTGCTGTGCAATGCGAGCGAAGCAGAGCGACTCCCCGATCCGGTCCGGGTGACAGTGGCCGCGAGCCCGCCCACGCCTCGTCTGTTTGAGCAGATGACGGAGTTGAATCTCCACCCGGTGCATGTCTACGGCATGACTGAGACGTATGGCCCGATCACCAAGGGCTACCAGTTGCCCGAGTGGGATTGCCTCCCCTTGAAAGAGAAGTACCAGCGGATGGCTCGCCAGGGACACGGCTTCATCACCAGTCTCCCAGTGCGTGTGATTAAGACCGGTGTCGCCGAGGGTACCATCATCGACGTCCAACGCGATGGAAGCGAGATCGGTGAGATCGTCTTCGTCGGCAACATCTGCGCACGGGGTTACTACAAGGACCCGGAGGCGACCCGCAAGTTGTTCGCAGGGGGAGTCCTCCACTCTGGCGACCTGGCTGTCTGGTATCCAGACGGGGCGGTCCAGATTCTTGACCGGGCTAAGGACATCATCATCAGCGGTACTACATATACTAATCTTATCATCATCTGCTGCTAACTGCTAACTCTTCCTTTAGGCGGCGAAAATATCTCCTCGGTCGCGCTGGAATCTATGCTCGCCACACATCCAGACATTCTCGAAGCCGGGGTAGTCGCCGTCCCTGATTCTCACTGGGGAGAGCGGCCGAAAGCCTTCATCACCGTCAAGGCCGGCCGGCAGCTTTCCGGCAGCGACGTCATCGAATGGGCGCGGCACGAGAGCACCATCAGCAAATTCATGGTCCCCCGTGAGGTCGAGATCATCTCCGAGTTACCCAAAACCAGTACGGGCAAGATTAGGAAGAATGTTCTTCGTGAATGGGTCAAAGGTGTGCGAAGTGGTGGTTAGGGAGACAGTATATATTTCTACATACTTTAGCTCAAAACGAGTCCTTATTTTGACGATATGAGCATATTAAAGAGAATATGGCAGTCTTCTCACCTTAAACAAGCCAACAGCCATGCTTCCAGCCAGCCAAACACCCTGCTTGGGCTGTTCTGCAGTTGAAGCGTGAAAGAGGGGCAAATGGCACTATTTGGCATTGCAGTATCATAGGTCGCTGCCTAAGGCAGAAACAGTCAGTCAGACACACACGCGGACTGCAACAATTAATAATAAGAACCAACGTCAGACGACGACATCTTGAGACTTCTTGAGCCTCTTGATCATCCACACTCAGATCCCCCTCATTTATCAACCCATCCAGCTGTCTTCTACCTCTCTCACCCGGTAGACACCATCAGCGCCCTCTAACTAACTGCCAACCAGACCGCACGAGCCACCGCCGCAGCCTTACCGGGCCAGCCCTCTCCCTCCCCCCTCCGTCGTGCCTCACAACGTCCTCTCTGTTCCTGCTAGACAGCCTGAGAGACAACCCCCTCGCCGCTGGAACGGTCGTCTCTTATCTCGCCGTGGTGCCATCTGCTTTATCCTCCGTCTGACGCCCGCCTACACGTTCCGCCTACCGTTGTCTGTGACGGCAAACGAGCTTCCTGTACGCCGTGGGAATTCTAGATAATGCAGCCGTGACAGCGCTGGACAGACGTTGGTTTTAGACCTACTTGATCAGGGGGCTTTTCTCCCAGAGATTGTCGTGTACGGAGGCTTCTTTCTTTCTTTCGTCCTTCTACAGCCACGAGGAGTCCCTTTTAGGGAGGACTCCGTTTTTGCTTTTTCCCGGCCTGCGATCTCCTGTCCGCTTCTCCTTCCTCACTCTCCCTTGCCGGGGCCAGGCTGTGCAACTGAAGGCACCTCCAGGCTCGACCAATATAATCTCTCTTTCTCTCTCTGGTTATCTTTTTTCTTTTTTTTTACTTTAATTCCGACGGTGAACTCGCTTGCAAACCGACTGACGGACTTGCTGGTTCAGGGAGGTCAAGTTAGTGGCTCAGAGTTGAGTTCAAGGCTGTGATATTGAGCCCGGGATACTCTTTTGGCATCGTATATGTCATCGGACAGGCAGTGGATCGAGATCAGTGAAGGGAATCTGTCACCGTGAACGCCGGAGAACGACGTCGTCTCCAGATACCAGCGCCATGCCCCGCACACGCCACGCCACTCGTTTCTCGAGCGAAGCTCCCTCCGAATCGTCTTCGTCAACATCGCCGGAACGCGCGGCCGACGATGATACCGATTTCTTTATGGCCCAGGCCAACGACTCCGAGTCGTCGATTGGCGTTGCGAACTTTCGCGACGTCCATATGCAGCAGAGTGGACGGAATGTCGTGCTGCCGCCGATCGGCCGCCTGCCGCCGGAGATCTTGATTGCCATCTTCTCGAAGCTGAGCTCGCCGACGGATATGCTGAACTGTATGCTGGTCTGTCGAGGCTGGGCGGCAAATTGCGTCGGGATTTTGTGGCACCGGCCGTCATGTAACAACTGGGACAATTTGAAGAGCGTGGCCGCGTCGGTGGGCAAGACGGACAGCCTATTCGCCTATTCGGAGCTCATCAAACGGCTGAACCTCTCGGCGCTAACAAAAGATGTGAGCGATGGCACTGTCGTGCCGTTCACGCAGTGCAAGCGCATCGAACGCCTGACCCTGACCAACTGCTCGGAACTCACCGACAAGGGTGTCTCGGATCTGATCGAGGGCAACCGCCATCTACAGGCGCTGGACGTCTCCGACCTGCGCTCCCTCACCGATCATACCATCTTTACTGTCGCCCGGAACTGTCCACGACTCCAAGGGTTAAATATCACCGGGTGTACCAAGGTGACGGACGACTCGTTGATTACCGTTTCGGAAAACTGCCGGCAGATAAAGCGGGTGAGTATCTGCAAAAGACATGAACTATCCCCCCCCCCCCCCCTTTTCCCCAAACCACTGACTCGTCTTAGTTAAAATTGAACGGGGTAAGCCAAGTCACACACCGATCAATCGCGTCCTTTGCGCAGAACTGCCCCTCGATTCTGGAAATCGACCTTTTTGACTGCAAGCTCGTCACTAGTCCATCTGTGACTGCCTTGCTCAGCACGTTACGCAATCTCCGGGAGCTGCGACTTTCACATTGTACGGCGATCGACGACTCCGGCTTTCTCAACCTGTCACCGCACCTGACATTCGATAGCCTGCGGATCTTGGATCTCACCGCGTGCGAAACCATTCGAGATGACGCCGTTGAGCGCATCGTGAGTGCCGCCCCGCGGCTACGGAACCTGGTTTTGGCCAAATGCCGGTTTATCACAGATCGCTCCGTCCTCGCCATCTGCAAGCTGGGGAAGAACCTGCATTATGTACACCTCGGCCACTGCTCCAACATCACTGACGGGGCGGTGATGCAACTCGTCAAGTCGTGCAATCGGATTCGATACATCGACCTGGCCTGCTGTACGCGTCTGACAGATCGGAGCGTACAGCAGCTGGCTACTTTGCCAAAACTGCGACGCATCGGCCTGGTCAAATGCCAAGCCATTACTGATCAGAGCATTCTGGCCCTGGCACGTCCGAAGATTTCTCCGCACCCGATGGGCGTCAGCAGCCTGGAGCGGGTGCATCTGAGCTACTGTGTGCACCTGACCATGAAGGTATGCCTTTTTTTTCTACCTTTCTCCAAACCCTCAAATAAAAAAGAAAAAAAAAAAGAACTCTACTGACATATATATCTGAACTCTAGGGGATCCATGCCTTGCTCAACCACTGTCCGCGATTGACACATCTGAGTCTCACAGGCGTCCAGACCTTCCTTCGCGGGGACCTGACTGCGTTCTGCCGCGAAGCGCCTTCAGAGTTCACGCCGCTGCAGCGCGAGGTATTCTGTGTCTTCAGCGGCGAAGGTGTGAACCGTCTCCGTGATTTCCTAAACCAAGCCCCTATCTCGACCGCGGTGGATGAGACCGAGGCCACCATGTATGACGATGATGAAGAGTTGGACGAAGATGAAGGTCAGGTCACCGGCCTGATGCATGCGACTGCCATTAATGACGAAGACTACATTGACATCGGGCCTCCTCCCCACAGTTGATACCCCTCTGCTTCGGGCGTTTTTTCTTTCCCCCCCCTTTTTTTTGTCTCTTTTCATTTCCTTTTTTTCTTTTCGCTTTTGCCAATACAGAACAAGCTCGTCTCCTTTATTACCCACTATCTATTTATCTGGATTGCATCGGTGCGCAGCGGATATGGTTCTTCCTCTCTCGGGATCCGGTATACTGGTGATATCTTTTGGACGGCCTCGTTATCTTTCATCCATCTGAGCCAGCAGTTCACATGTAGACGTCAGATATCCGTGAACTCACGGCCTCGTTACCGTGAGCTGTTCAGCCTGTCTTGAGTGCATGGTGGGAGTTTGCTTTCTTCATGCTTCTGCTCTTGCCTTATTGATAGTTTGGAATATGAATAATACTCATTCTCATCATCGAATCCCCCATATTCTTTTTCTCTAGACGGTTTTTACTCCTACCTGAGCTCTTATACAAACTGAATGGTTTGACGTATACTATACTGCCGGCCCCTTCCGCCTTTCCCCTCTCCGTGTAACTGCAACTCCTCACGTCGACTCCAGCTTCCAGTGGCAGCTTGCCCGCTCCAGCTTCTCCCCTCGAGCTCTGGGTCTTCGATCCCCCAGGGCGCTTTGCACAATCTGCCAAACCGAACCCCAATGGCTCGGACGAACCTGCTGAGCTTCCGCCCCTGGCCGGTGACGCTGGTCACCTGTGCCGTCTACCTGGCGCTGGCCGTCGCCCTGCTGGTTGTCCACCACGTCGTGCCGCCGGCCCCGACGCACAGTCCTGCGGGGATCGATCTCGACGAGGCGTGGGACGACCTGCGGCATCTCTCGGGTCATTTCCATCCGTATAACTCGCATCAGAACGACCTGGTGCACGCGTGGCTGCTGCAGCGGATCGACGCGATTCTGGCCTCGACGGCCGAAGGACAAGAAGAAGGAGGAGGAGGAGAAGAAGAAGGAGAAGAAGAAGGAGAAAAAGACACTACGCCGCCGCAGGTGTATGTCTTTGACGATAACGTGTCGAACCTGACGTTTGGCAGTAGCGGCATCAACACCCCCGCCGTGGGTGTCTACTTTGAGGGAACGAATATCATCGTGTACATCCGCGGCACGGAGGATGACCCGGACAACTGGTGGGAACGGGAGGACGCGCTGGCGCCGACGGCGCAGCACGGTGTGCTGGTCAACTCGCATTACGACAGCGTGTCGACGGGATACGGCGCGACGGACGACGGGGTGGGCGTCGTGACGTGCCTGCAGCTGATCCGGTACTTTGCGAGCGCGGCGCATGCGCCGCGGCGCGGGCTCGTCGTGCTCTTCAACAATGGCGAGGAGGACTTTTTGAACGGGGCGCGCGTGTTCAGCCAGCACCCGCTGGCGCGGTTCACGACGAGCTTCTTGAACCTCGAGGGCGCGGGCGCGGGCGGTCGCGCGGTCCTCTTCCGCGGCTCCGACGCACAGGTCACTGCGTTTTATGAGCGGGCGCCGCACCCGTTCGGCTCTGTGCTGGCGGCGGATGGGTTCAAGGCTGGGTTAATCGCCAGTCAGACGGACTACGTCGTCTTCGAGGGAGACTTGGGCATGCGCGGGCTGGACGTCGCCTTCATGGCGCCCCGCGCACGCTACCACACTGACCAGGACGACACCAAACACACCAGCCGTGACTCGGTGTGGCATATGCTCTCTGCGGCCGTCGCCACCACGGAGGGTCTTGTCTCTGACGGCTCGCATCGGTTCGACAGCGGGCAGTCCGGCTCCCCGGGCGTCTGGTTCGACCTGTTTGGTGCTGCATTTGTCGTCTTCCGACTGCACACGCTCTTCGCCCTCTCGGTCACCCTGCTGGTCGTCGCCCCGCTTGTCCTCCTGGGGACCAGCATCGCCCTTGTCCGCGCCGACAAGATGTATCTGTTCCGCTTGTCCGTGCGAGTTCGCGACGACGACGGCTACTATGTCGGCGAGCGGGTGGGCTTACAGGCGCTCCGTGGCTTCTTTCGTTTTCCTTTCCTCCTGGGCATCCCCACTGGGGTGACGGTCGGGCTGGCCTATCTGGTAACCAAGGTAAACCCGTTGATCGTACACAGCAGCGAGTATGCAGTGTGGAGCATGATGATTTCGGCCTGGCTGTTCCTGGCTTGGTTTGTCTCGCGTGTGGCGGACTTCGCACGCCCGTCTGCCTTGACTCGCGTGTACGTCTGGACCTGGCTGTTTGTGCTGGCGTGGGTGCTCCTGGTCATCGCAACAACATATGAGAACCGCTTCGGTCTGGCAGGCGGGTATTTCATCTTCTTTTTCTTTGCCGGCACCTTCCTGGCCACCTGGATCTCGTACCTCGAGCTGTTTGCCCTGCCGCGCAAGACCGACTATGTCACGGCCCTGCAAGCGCGCGATACCGGGTCGCGGCGTCCGAGCACCTTTGGTAGCCGGTACGGCACGCCAGGCGGCGAGGAAGAAGAAGGGGACGACGACCACGATGATGGTGATGACGACGAAGCAGTCGAGGATGAAGGACTAGCAACGGATGACGAGGTCCAGGGCGCGCCGACAGAATCGACATCGCTGCTGCGCGGACACGTACAGCAGCAGCAGCAGCAGCAGCAGCAGCGTACCACCTTTGCCAACTACGTGCGCGTGGGCAATCACTCTGCATACCACCATGGCCGTCACGACGACGACGAGGATACCAGGGGAGGAGAGCGGAACGTGTATCGCTTCGAGCAGGCGTGGAGCCGGTCCCTGCCGCAGTGGACGTGGGTACTGCAGTTTCTACTGACGGGGCCCGTGGTGCTGATCTTCGTGGGCCCGCTGGCTTTGATGCTGACCACGAGTCTCCATCAAACGGGCCAAGACGGCAGCGCCATCCTGACAGTATACGTGTTCATGGCGGCGTTCACGACGCTGCTGTTCTCCCCCGTCCTACCTTTGATCCACCGGTGTACCTTCCACGTGCCCGTGTTCCTCCTCCTCGTCTTCACGGGGACCCTCATCTACAACCTCACGGCGGCGCCCTTTTCCGAATCGAACCGGTTGAAGCTCTACTTCATGCAGGAAGTCGACCTCGCCTCGGGCGCCAACCGCGCCGTCCTCAGCGGCGTATCCCCCTTTGTCGACGAGGTGGCTCGTGCCATGCCCAGCGCAAGAGGGAAACAGGTCACCTGTTCTCCCTCCTCGCCTAGACCTGTCTCCTGCTCGTGGGAATCCATCCCGCCTAACCCTTTCTCTCCTGTTGATGCTGTTGATGCTGTTGATGCTGTTGATGCATACAGCGACTGGATGTCCTTCTCCGCCTCAAAGATTTCAACAGGCCACGCCCTGTTTGAGATCTCCGGACGCAACACGCGTGCCTGCCGGCTTGTCTTCGACAACCCCATTGCCAACTTCACTGTGGAGGGTGCTGCAGAAGATGATCCGCGCTTCCCCTCGACCTTTGCACAGGGGTACAGGGAGATCCGGCTGTGGAGTCGCCAATGGGAGAATCAATGGAATGTAGATGTTTACTGGAATGGTAGTCAAGCCGAAGCCAAGATCCATGGGAAAGCAGTATGTCTGTGGAGTGATAATAATCGGGTCGGTCTGATCCCTGCCCTCGACGAGGTAAAGCAGTATAGCCCTGCCTGGGTGGCGATTACTAAGGCTGGAGATGGGCTGGTGGAGGGATATCATCGGTTTGACTTGTAGTTATAACTGGTAGTTACTGATAGTTATTGAGTCTATGCTATGAATTTCAACCTTGCAAAACCTCATCACGATGTAGTTCATGCTAAACGGCTAGACGGCTGACAGCCAAAAAAGTCAACGACCACAGTTGTCGGATATCGGATTCTAAGAAAGTTAGCCAACCGGACGTTCTTTAGAAAAGATTCTTCTTTTAAACGAACCAGTCTGCCCTGACACGCCAGGGGGAGGCGGGAGTTCAGCCAACTGCTCGACCTGGAAGCCACCGTCATACACCCACGACCACATTTCCGTCGAGAGCTCGGCCGTGTTGGCCTCGATGCTGTCCCAGAGGGTATTGTACGCGCTGCGGACATTATTGTAGATGAATGGATCTTGACAAAAGTCGGGCACATTCGCATTGCTGTCGTTGCACCGGCTCAGCTGCAGCTCTAGCCCCTTGGCCATCATCGCCATCTGCCATGACCACACCACTGTCCCGTGGTAGGCGCCCGTGGTCCAGTTCTGCGCGTAGACCGGGTCAGGCCCGTACGCCGGGTTGGCGATCAGCATGCCGACATCCGTGAGAAGGCCGGCTGGAAAGGTGCGGCGGAGGTTATTGGCCGTCGCGTTGAGCAAGGTGGACAGCTGCGTCTGGTTGGTCGTGTTGAGCAGGAGGTGGCGGAAGCAGTCGTCCGTGTGCATGACCTGGACCTGGGCCAGATCGTCATACCCGTCGAGCGAGAGCGCGTAGAAGCGGACGTCCTCGTCGATGGTTGTTGTCTGGTTGGGTCCCGTGAAGTTGCTGCTTGCGCTGTATGAGACGACGCGCTGTCTTGCTTCAGCTTGGGGTACGGTGACCTGCAACAGTTAATTCTTTTTTGGAAGCAATATTCCCTCTCCTGGTATTTCCTTCTTCTTCCTACCTCGAAGAACTGAAGGGTTGAGTCTTCCCAGACTTGAGCATAGTTATCTGCAAGCTCTCCCCAGTTGGAATGATTTGCATAGATGCCATTGCGAGCCAGAACGGCAATAGACCGCAACGCTGCCGGCATCAAGGCCGTGTTCACGTCAAAGGGAATCCGGCCACCGCCGATACCTGGCCTGTTCAGCGATGCCTAGATAAGGTAAACTACTAGGTATAAGTTCCAACTTACCATAAGTGCTATCTCGCCATTGGCCTACGATTTGGCCGTCTTTCAGATGGACAAGGTTTTCCTTGGTCTGGTTACTCGCGAACGGGGCCGCAAGACGCATGATCTTCTCGCCGTTGATCAGAGCAAGCTGGCCGTACGTGAGGTTTAGATTGGCAGAGTCAATTGACCCGGCAGAGATTCTAAACAGAACAAGGGACGTTAATATCTCGCTCTCTCCCTTCTCACAGCCGAGGCAGACCAGACTTACTTGGAAAAGACAGAGAATCTGGTCTTTCCTACATGGTTGTCGACAAAGTACTTCTGCATCAGAACTGGAAGATAGTAGTCTGTATCAATCTATGCCTTCTGATCAGCCGTGATCTACCCCGTTTCCACATTGTCCTATCTGCACTGACCATTCCGTAGCTGCACGACATGGCTGTGCTGATGATATTATTTTGCAGATTCGTCCAGGTCGCATAGTCTCTGTTAGTGTTAGAAGAGAAAGGTCTTGAAGAAGGTCTTCCGGGATAAGAACGGTAGGTACCCGATGGTTTCTTCATGACAGACACTCCCATCCGTCCGATCAATCCTCTCCAAGACTGCGCCGATGACGGCCTCGATGGCGCTGCCGTTGCCATAACTGAGCACCGGCTCGAGCAGCAAGGCGGAGATCATCGAGTCGCGCCCAAAGTAGGTGAGGAAGCGCCATGCCCCGGCAAGAAGCTTTTCCGAGTACGAGAGAAAGGAGAGCGCGGTGGTCTGGTCGGGGTACTGCACGATCAGGTCCGAGGAGTTATCATTGAGGTCCTGGGCAGGTGTGAGCTGGGTCAGCTGCGGGTAGTCGATTGTAGCTGAAAAGAGGTAATCGCCCTGTTCGAACTGCACTGTCTGGTTGTTGAGAGTGACCGAGCCCGAGGCAGAAGAAGAAGAAGACGAGCGATTGTTCTCGTTCCAAGGCGCAAAGCTGAGGGTGGACGTCGTGACGTTGTCGAGCCACAGACGCTGCAAGGCAACACTGCCGTCTGCAAGAGTTGACACGGTGATGGCATCTTGGATCTCTGGCCGCAAGATGCTGGCCCCCTCGACAAAGTCGCGGATTGTCCGGACACTCCCCAGGATGGGGAGTGTCAGGACCGCAGAGGCATTGAAGCGCAAGACGCCGGAGACGCCAACAGCCGGCGTTGTCGTGGTCTCGACCCCTGCTTGAGACGAGTTGACAGCCGCCAGGGGAGTCCCTACGGTCGAGTTGACGAGCTCGATGGCCAGGGTGCCGTTGACGCCACTCTGCGGTGCGAAGAACGCACACGCACCGCTGTTGCCAGCGGGCCAGGCGACGATCAACCTTGGACCGATGACGGTCAGGTCGCTATCGGCGAGCGGGCTGGTGACCACCACCTGAGCTGCGACATTGCAGTCCGAGTAGAAGTAGTTGTTGTAGGGAGGGTCACTCAACGCGAGGGTGGCCGGGGGAGCTGAACAGGATGAGGTCTAGCCTTTATTATTAGCTTAGGAGAAGAGAAAAAGGATTCAGAATACAACTCACATCGCCGTTGACTGTTTTAAAGCCAACAAGCAACGAGAACAAGAGAACCTGTTTCATTGTATACCGCGAAGTCTTCCCTACTCTTTTGCAATTCAAAACGAGTTATCCATACTGCTATCCCGGAAAAGCCCGCCTTTTATCTTCAACGCCATTTCCTTCCAACAAAGCTGCAGCCAAGATCTGAATGTCGGATGCCCAATAGGAAAAAAAACATCACCGGCTGGTCTCACCACTGAGACACAAGCATAAGCGAGGGCGGAGCAGTCAGGAAACTTGTCCTGCGCCAAGAATGCGGAGAAGACGGCGATTATTTGCCTCCCTGGCCGCTGATCGACAAGCCACTGCGTTTGTGGCTTTCTGGAATGGATGAGATTGAGTGAAGGAGGGGAGAGCGTGGGTGAGATAGAGGGAGGAAGTGAGGAGAGAAGAAATACAACCTTCCTTTTGTGAGCGAGACAATTAGGTAAGCGGTAGACAGTATTTACAGAGGGAATAGCTAGATAGATGAGGAAGTAAATAAATCGTAACTATAGTTCGTAATGTATGTACATAGGTATAAGGGTATCATAGGTGGAATAGGATAGAACGACAAGGCGAAGAGAATACGACATCTAGTTCCTATCGCTCTACATCGTGGGAGTAGGAGTATTTGGTGCGCTCGGTGAAGTCTACCGGGGAGGTCTTGGTCTCGCCGCTCCACGAGACCGACAAGTCGGAGCGGCGGGTTTCGCGGACAGAGGGCGAGTGCTCGAACATGGCGATGGAGACGGCGTCGGCGTCCATCCAGGGGTGGTTGGTACGGCGCGAGGACGAGGACAGGGTAGCTGGGGAGGCGGCGTGGGTGACATCCGAGGTGAAGCGGGAGGAATCGACAAAGTCCGGGAAGTTGGTGGGAGCCGGGGGCAGGGAGACCGGGAGGACGACCGACGGGGCTTGCTGCTGCTGCTGGCGGCCGACGAGGCGGACGAGCTTGCCGAGGACGGCGAACTCGAGCTTGAGCTTGATGCTGTAGATGGTGCCCTTGAGGATGGTCTCCATGATGTAGTTGTTCATGTATTCGAGGATGAGGAGGACGACGTCCATGAGGATGATGACGGCGTTGATGACGATCAGCTCGTACATGATGCGACGCTTCTCCCGGCTGGGATCCATGCGGAGCAGGCGGACGGTCTCCCAGATGTAGAGCGAGGAGAGGATGGTCTCCTGCAGGAAGAAGCCGGTCATCTGGATCTTCTCCATGACGGAGTAGCCGTAGACAAAGGCGTAGTTGGCGGGATGCAGGTTCGCACCGTAGGTCAGCACGGTGGTGGGCAGGTGCAGCAGCACGGCGTCGACGACGATCATGCGCAGCACCCAGCGCAGCACGGGCGGATTGCGCATCACCAGATGAAGACGCGAGTAGAGCACGACCGACTGACCGGTCACCATGCACCACCAGCCGATGGTCAGCATGGTGACGGGCAGCCAGGCGGCCTGGACGGAGACGAGCCCGAAGAACTTGAGCAGGAAGCCCAGGCTGTACCAGACGAGACCCACGGCCGACGAGACCAACAGGCTCCAGAAGTATAAGCCCCGAAAGCGATGGAAGGTGACGAAGACGAGGATGACCAGCTCCACCGCGTTATACCAGGAGATGGCGGCCAGGGTGGCTATCGTGATGCGTACCCCGAGACTGTGGCCACGATAGTCTCCCGAGACGCCGTTGCCCAGGGAGCTTTCGTAGACCATGGCGATGGATTCATGGGGGCGGCCGTGCGGGGGGGGGGGAAGGTTGGAAACGAGAAAAAGGGGATCGTGGAACGAGGATTGACTGTTATTATAATGATTCGTGTCGTGAGTCGGTGGAGAGAAATCCCCGAGCGAATCCCCCCGCAAGAGGTGGACCGAGTGGAGATGGGGGCGGCATCAGGATCGTGCAACTCTGCTTGTTTCAACTATAAATGATGAGGATGGAATAAGATGTCGTAATGACGGTTAGGTGTGTTTGAGGTTGTACGATATCCTTGAATTGTCTGTGGTTGTGTGACAAGCGGAGGTGAAGAAAAGGAGGAGGAGGAGGAGGAGTGGTACAGAAGATGACCGTCAACTGAATTCAATCAAGTAATAGTAGAAGGCCAATAATAGGTTATTATAGATAGTCTAAGACGTATAAGCTCAGTATAATTAATGATCTATACCTTAGAGATGAATGTTGTATATTGCGAATGTGAAAGCCTGGATATTTCTGCCTGAATAATGAGGCAGAGATACTATGACATAATATCACGCTCTGTAATATTCGTATTCTAGTTACTCGTCGTATCGTAACTCGTCGTATAATAAATTACAGTCGAGATTCGATAAGCATAGCAATAGCAAGCATAGGAATAGCAAGCATAGCAATAGCAAGCATAGCAAGCATAGCTAGCAATCCCTGATGTACTCGTAGGCTTCGTGGTACTGGTAGAACTGGTAGAACAGATAATTGCATATACTTCAATAAAATACCAAATAGTCAACCCACTCCAATCAACCAACACAATAACAACCAATACACCATAGACATAAACATAGGCATTGACATGGAATGACTGAGAGGTCAGTCAATGACCCCCCCCGTCGCCTCAACCGCCCGGTTGACTTCATGCGTACACTCGGGCATTGCCCCCCTCATCTCCCGCGCCAACACGTCACGGAAACTCGCAAACGCAGCCTGTTTCCCCTTGAGATCCTGGTTGCCGCGCTGCACCAGCTCGACAAACTCGCGCGTGTAGATGTCTGGATTGCGTGAGGCGTCCACGTAGTCGATTATCTCTGGCGGCAGCTGGATGGACGCGAGACTGGGCGAGGGGTCGTGCGGATTATTGTTCGGGTCGCTGGCCGACGGGTTCGTGTGGGATGTTAATGTTGCTAATGAGGTTGTCAGGTTTTTTCTAGTCTTATTAGCAAGAAAAGCAAGTAAAACAAGAAAGAAAAGAAAGTGAAGCAAGTATTCTTACATCTTCCTGACTAGCTCTTGTTGCGTCTCTGGACCAAGGTACCCGTGGACAGCGGACTGGATCTCAAAGAGGTGCTGGATTACCTCCTTCAAGTCATCTGGAAAATCAGCTTGTTCTTTCGTTAGAGGTATCACTTACTGTCCACTGTACTCAGGCGGATGGGAGCCATGGTGTGATGTTAGGAGTGGAAGAGTGGAAGAGTGGAAGAGGGAAGAGAAGAAGTCTTATCTTATCAGACACGAGTATCATACTATAGATTCAAGACTATAGATTCAAGACTATAGATTCAAGACTATGATTCAGACTATGATTCAGACTATGATTCAAGTAGACTATACATTTATTATAAACTACACCTCTCGTCGCACACTGATGGGTATCTCGATCTCCCGCTCCACCATCTCCAATCCCGACAGACTCGGGAACCGTCGGCTGAAGCTGGTCTCCCAGTCTGGACTGTCGGGGGCGACACTGGCAGGAGTCCCAGCATTTCCAGTGCTCACGCTGTTCACATTTCCAGTGCTCACGCTGTTCACGTTCACAGCTTGCAGCTTCTTCGGCTTCGGCGGTGCCGCAGGGCGCGACCCCGTCCGCTGCCCCGTCGACACAGCAACAACCACATTCGCTTCGCTGGGAGAAGTGACGGCCGCCTCCTCCGTATACCGGCCGTACCCGGTCGCCGTCTTGGGCGGCGGTGGCTTGTTGCTGTGGTCCTGCAGCAGCGACTGCACCTTGTTCTGGATGCTTGCAGACCGCATCCCAGCACCTCCTCCTCCTCCTCCTCCTCCACCGCCGCCGGCGGCCACCCGACGACGGTAATCGGCTGCCGCCTGCGCCACGCGCTTTTCCTCCTGCGACAGTCGCCGCCGCTCCAGTTCGCGTCGCATCTCCGGCGAGATGTCGTCCTCGGGCTCGGCTGTCTCGTCTTCGACCATGGGGAGATCATTCCCGCCGCTAGACCCTACACCCCCTTCCCTCATGTCGGGCGTGGGTTGTCGCGCAGGCACCGCCGTCTCGTCCGGAGACGGGGTTCGCGCCTTGTTGCTATCGCTACCGCTACCGCTCGATTCGAACCGGCGAAACGCCTCCCCGAACCGCCCGGCAAAGAGAGTCTTGGTGCCGGCCAGCGACAGGTTCGACAGACTCGTCCGCTTGATATGTTTGGCCCCGCCGCCAACCCCGCCATTGCTACTGTACCGTTTTTCCCGCTTCCGGTTGCTCTCTTCCTCCTCCTTGGCGCGTAGGTAATCGACATCAGACACGATCTGGCTGCGCTCCGTCTCGATCTCCGTGCGTGCATGGCGCAGCGGCGCCCCGCCTTCGTAGTTTGCCGCCGCCGCCGTCGTCGTTCGCACCACGTCGATCGACGAGCGGGTGGTGTCCGGTTCGCGCGATCGCTCACGCATGCCGCCTGCGTGCACTGACACCGGGCGTACCTTGGCCGCATTGGCCGACTTGGATCGCGTCACGGGGTCGTGGTCAACCGTGCCGAGTAGGTCCAGTGTGGACGGACGGGATGTCTCCAGCGAGGGCCGTGCAGAGCCCGAAAGTCCCGCGATCTTCTCGGCCGAGGTCCGCGGACTTGGCTGCGGCTGGCTGGACGCGCGGTGGTCGGCGGCGGTCGAGGATGTTGATTCCGACGGGGGGAATCGGTAGATCGGCCGGCTCGACAACAACGACGGCTGCGGCTGCTTCGGGGTGGACGGGGGCGAGGTCATCGTCCCTGTCGATACCATGCTGGGCTTCTGGGGCACGGGTTGGTATAGCGGGGTTTGCTGCTGTTGCTGCCACTTTTGCTGGGGTGAATCTCGTGTTTCCATCGGAGAGGTCTGCGGCCGTCGGTGGGAACTGGACTCGCGCACCGAAGGCTGGTCGCGCACCGAAGGCTTGCTGTCTGGGGAGGACAGCTTCACAAAGGCATCATCTGCCAACGCGTTGGTTAACCGCCGGGCCAGGTCTTCATCCTCGGTAGTCGCCTTGGAGTCGGCTAACGTGGGCTCAAAGTCAAACTTGTCGCCCTTTTCGTGTAGGATAGAAAACTGATCTAGTGTCGGGAAGCGGGCGGAGATCTCGTCGGTCTTGACGCTGGTGGTCGTGGTCGCCGTGGCAGCGCCTTTCGTGCTGTGTCCATCTAGTGCGGCGAACGGGTCTGTCGAGCCGCGATAGGGTGATGGACTTGGCTTGGCCGACGACTGCTGCGAGGAGGGCTTCGACGGTCGCCCACGTCGCATAGGAGCAATCTCCGGGATGATACGAGTCTCCTGCATTGGTGGCGAGAACACGGCGCCAACCCGGGGCGCCTCGACAGGCGATGGAGGCAGTTCCTGGTACCGACGGGCCTCGGAGGTTGTACGACCGGCGTAGATCTAACGATCAGCTTGAGTACAATGATTTTTGATGAAAAAAAAAAAA